GATTTAATAACTCACTTCTAATAACTAATTTATTTTATCTATACCATGATGACAGCACATAATATTTTACAAAACACTTTAAATGCCGCTTTCAGTGACATTTAAAGGCTTAACTAGGTTAATTAGTTTAGCTTGTCCAGCTAACCTATCAATGTCCAGCATCCACACTAAAATCAACCAAATATTAATGTCTAATGATGCTACAGCTTGACGTTGTGTGGATGTTACCACTAGATGTCTATCAGATGTTTCATTTTGGTTGCCATACCTGGTGAATAAATGTCAGTATTTAAGATGTTGGCTCAATGTTGGATTTTGATCAGTTTCTCTCTCACAACCTAAAATCAACCAAACATTGATGTCATTATTGGACATCAAAATAAGATTGTCCTTAGACACTGGCTAGACACTGAATTTTGGTCACCTGACATTACAACCTAAATCTAACCTAATATTAATTTCTCATGACATTGTGTGCCTGCTAGACAGTAACTAAATGCAGTACAGAATGTTACGTTTACACACAGCCACAAATTACATGTAAATGCATCAGCTTTTCACAGCATAATACTCACTACTCCTGAGTACTTTTAAAAGGTGTATTTTTTTATATTTTAAGTAATATTTACAACAGAAACTTTTACTGTACTTGCACTACATTTTTAGGCAAGTAATGGTACTTTTACCTAAGCAAGAATTTTCAGTACTCTTTCCACCACTGCTCAGCTCTCAGAACTACATGGAGTAAATAAAAACAAAGACTGTATTTATGCACCATCAAATGTGGTTATAATGGAAGTCAATGAGACAAAAAAACCACCAACAGTAATTTAAAGAGAAAAAAATTAAAGCCTAACATTGCATCACAGCCAATGCTGTTACTAATCATTCAAAGGTTAAGACTGCGATAAAGGAAAAAAAATCTTGTTCACAATTACTTGTTATTTTGAAAATATGTCATTTTCAGTGTTTTTCCCCACCAAATCAGTGACATCATTTGTGAACATGGCAATTAAAGAGTTAAAATCTTGCAATTTTGATCAGGACTGGGGTCAATAAACAGATTTATGCAAAATAAAAAATTGAAAAACAATATTAATCTAATGTATTTTTACAGCGGTTAAATTCAGTTGATATTTTCATCCCTAACATAACAAGAGGGTACATTTGAACAGTGCACAAGGGTTGCTATACATGACCACAAGACAATGAAAAAAAAAACATGCAAATGTAAAAGACTTTCAGAACTGGACGGCACCCATGCACTCCGCTCACATGTCTTTTTACATCCACATAATGTACAATTTAACAGCTGTGTGTGTTTTTGACAGTTCAGGCGCAAGGAGAACAAATCACACACTGTCTTGAGAGAACTAAGATTGCACAGGCATTACATGACTCAGATGTTCCAAGTCACCTTTAAATTCCCGAAGCAAATCAAAAATAAAATATTTGGGGAACAATATGTTCAGACAACGTGTTCCTTTTGCATTTTAACATGCAAATGGCAAATGCGTGGACAACATCTTCCTTATACCACATACTTTCTGTTGTCTGCAGTTCCCTTCTGGCAATAATGGCTGCCATTTCAAGTGCAACATTTAACAAGTTTTTTAGGGTCAGAAAGACACTTAATTTTAAGGGATTTTTGTGATGATTCTGCTGTTTGTCTAAGGGGTGTAATATAAAATCCCAGAGTATGCAGTTTTCAAACAACTTAAAACAGCTGACTTCAACCCTGTTCTGACTGCACAGTTTTTATAGTTGGCTACAACAGTCACTGTTAGATAGAGTGATTTAGGTCTATAGTTAAAGATAAACATGTCTTTAATTTATTACAAATCCATCGTTATTGCTTCTGTCACTCCATAGTCTAATATAGTCAGCCCAAATCTGGCATTTGCCTATTAGCAAATTTGAACTGAGATGCTGAGTTTAGTGATCAATGGTCAAATCAGGAACTTGTGAAAATTAAGTTAATTAATTTTTATTATGACCAAAAGCTAGAGCCAATATTAAAGTAAAATTAAAGTAATACTTTAACACTTTTGTTCAAGTTAACATCAGGAATGGTGTTAGTAGTTCCTAGTTCCACCCAAAAATAGAAAATATATTGGTTCTTTAAAGTTGTGTTGCTTGTACCTGCTTCAAGAGTGGTTGACCATGGTTCATTGTGCACGTGTCATGACTATGAATGTCTGCAAGCAGAAACAACAAAGTCTCCAAGGTAAATTGGGAATTTCGGAACAGCAACCAACACAAGCAGCGTCTCCTTAAAAGATCTCCAGTTCAGTAATTCACTACAAAGATCTCTCTGCATGTGCCAGTTTATCCAGATTGCTCAAAGACTTCAAAACTTGCATTATAGCAAGGACTTTCTCAAATGTTCAAAACAAAAACACAGCTTCACAACCTTCTTTCAAGAAGACCCACACCTGCATGTTCCAGGCTTTATAAACTCTACCTTAAAGGAAAAAGAAGCCTGCGGGATCCGATGTCAGGACCGTCACCTCCAGAAATCTACAATCCCACATCTGCTTGTTTTATGCATCAGGACATCAGATACATACATCCAGAGTAGAAACATAAATATATTATTTTTTAAACCTCTATCAGAGACCTTGGCATAGTGTGTTTCAGTATACGCTATTTTAATTCTAATTAGATGTTTATAACAGATATCTATTAATGACAACTTCTTGAGTTAATTGGTATTTCAGAATAATGTTTATCTTATTAGAGATCTAGCTTATCTTTAGAGAAGAGCACAATACTCGATTTAATCACATTCATGATTCATTTTTAAAAACTTTGTTAATTGTACATTTAATAGTGTTTAGTGCGTCTGGAAAGTTTTCATAGCACTTCACTTTTTTCACTTTCACTTCACATGTTTTATGTTCCAGCCTTATCAAATTCATTTATTTCCTCAAAATTCACCTGTGGTAAATTGAGTTGATTGGACACGATTTGAAAAGGCTACACCTGTTTATATAAGGTCCCAGGGTTGACAGTGCATGCCAAAGCACAATCCAAGCATCAAGACAGAGGAATTGTCTGTAGACCTCTGAGACAGGATTGTCTCGAGGCATTAGACTAGGGAAGGTAGCAGAAAAATTTCTGCTGCTCTAAAAAGTTCCAATGAGCACAGTGGCCTCCATCATCCATAAGGGGAAGATGTTTGGAACCTCCAGGACTCCTCCTAGAGCCAGCAGGCCATCTAAGCTCCGTGATCGGGGAGAAGGGCTTTAGTCAGGGAGGTGATCAATAACCCGATAGTCACTTTGTCTGAGCTCCAATGTTCTTCTGTGGGGAAAGGGGAACCTTACAGAAGGACAACCATCTGACCAGGAATCCACCTGGAATTTCCCAAAAGGCATCTGAAGGACTCACAGAAACAAAATCCTCTGGTCTGATGAGACTAAAACTCTTTGGAGTGAATGTCAGGCGTTACATTTGGAATAAAACAGGCACTGCTCATCTTCATTCTAATGCCATTCCTACAGTAAAGCATGGTGGTGGCAGCATCATGCTGTGGGGATTTTTTTCACCAGCAGGAACAGGAGGATTAGTCAGGACAGAGGGAAAGATGAATGCAGCAATATGCAGAGACATCCTGAATGAAAACCTGCTTCAGAGTGCTCTTGACCTCAGACTGGGGTGACGGTTTATCTTCCAGCAGGACGATGTCCCAAAGCACACCAACAAAATATCAATGAAGTGGCTTCATAACAACTTGATAAATGTACTTGAACGGCCTAGCCAGAGCCCAGACCTAAATCCTATTGAATATCTCTGGAGAGATCTGATAATGGCTGTACACTGTGGCTTCCCATTCAACCTGATAGAGCTTGAGAGGTACTGCGAAAATGAATGGGCAAAAATTCAAAGACAGGTGTGCCAAGCTTGTGGCATCATATTCAAAAAGACTTGGGGTTGTAATTGCTGCCAAAGGTGCATCAACAAAATATTGAGGAAAGGCTGTGAATATTTATGTACATGTAATTTTTCTTTCTTTTTTTTTTTTTTATAAATTTGCAACAATTTTCCAGAAATATTTTTTCAAATTGTCATTATAGGGCATTGCGTGTAGAATTTTAAGGTGATGAATTAATTGAGTCCATTTTGGAATAAGGCTGTAACAAAAAAATGTGGAAAAAGTGAAGCACTATGAATGCACCGTATACTTGTTTATTCTTTTGTTAATAAATACACGCTTATTACAATTTCTTGTGTCTTTCTTGTGTTTGTATTTTCAGTAAGAGGCTCTACAAGTCAGATGATCTCACAAATCCTTTAGTTTGGCCAGACAATCAACTAATAATTACCCAAAACCCCAATATTTATATAAATAATATAATTAATGTTAATATTTGAGACAAACCAAAGGAATTATCTCTACATAAACTAGATAAATATCAATCAATCATCATCAATCATTGCAAGATGTCTACGACACAATGTCTGTCATGAAGAATCCAGTTGATGTCACTTACAGATGAGCTGGTTCATTTATTTGGGTTGCTCTAACTTCTTTCTAGTTACACTTTAGCTCTGGAGACAGAATGGAATAAATATTTTCAGCTACCCAGACACACAATTGTTTTGAAATATACACAGTCCATTTTATTTCAAGCGTTTGTAAAATATTTTTACTATTACTATAAAATGGTCCACCTTTTCTGTGATGATTTGCATTGGTTGACATTTTGTGTTAATGAAAGATGTTTGAGTTGGATGGAGTTTGTTTTATTCTTCAAAATTTCAAGAGAAAGCTATCATGTTTTATTATTATTATTATTATTATTATTATGGAGTGCACATAAAGGATTTTGTAGTCAAGGCCACCCTTAAAATGTCTTCTCTGGTTAATTCCCGGACTACTGAATTATTGAACTCACTGATACAATCAATAAGGGTATAGAAGAGCAACAGAGTACAGCATTTACAACTGACCACTTTAATAGCATAATACAACTCTTATATATAAGTAGATGGAGTTCAATTTTCATTGTTTTTATTTTTCATACATCTGAAAAGTGCCATTTGCTGAATGTCAATAAAACACCAGAGTGCAAAACAATTCTAAAGCAAATACATAAATACATTAATCAATTAAAACAAAACTAAAGATGTATTACCGCCTCACCAGTAGTCCATTGGTTGCCAATAGCAAAAAGAAAGTCAAGGAAATGCATTAATTTTATTTTCATGGATTATGCAAGTACCCAATCACAACATTAACAAACACTGCAATATCTGTACTGCTCACATAATTTTCAACACTAGGCATCTGCCAAACAACTGCATGTGCAGGTGAGTTTTGAACTAAGGTTGGAATTATTCAAAAAGCCACAAAAGTAATAGGCCTAATTCATAATTTAAGCATATTAACAATTTTTTAAATTGCTTTATCTCTCCAGTTTACAGGTCTCACTTAATGAAGTCTGTAACTACGCCTAAAAGTTATGATTACATAATCAATTAAACAGTTTTGTTTCACAGCATTAACCTAATACAACTGATTCAATTGTGAACAAAGGATGGCCATCACAATAATAATAATAATAATAAAGGTTAGATTTGCAACATCCATTTGATACTGAAATTGCAATATTTCTGTCATGATGTCAATTGTTAGAAGGGGTGTTCTGTAATTTCAAGAAACAGAACGTATTGTTCAGAACTGAAGATTTCAATCCTCTATTGTTGCAATCTTAAAACATGTTCTTATGAGACAGAGCTTATGTTTTACATACAGGAGTTAAAATAAGTATTGATCAGTCCCAATTTTTCTTGTAAACATACATATTCTAAAGGTGCTGCTGAGGTGCAATTGTACCAGATTTCAGTAAAACCCCGAACAATACCCAAAATTTAGTTTTTTCATTCTGAAATTATGTCATGTGCAATAACAATGAAATAACTTAAGGAAAAAGTACTGAACAACTTAAATGTATTTTAATACTTTGTATAAAAGTGATGACAGATTCCAGATTACTCTTGAATGGAGAATGGAGTTACAGGCATTGATCAGGTGTGATTTCCCCCCCGATACATTAACATTCTTCAAATCTTGACAGTTCTGTGGTTCTTGTCTATCAACTCTAATCTTTAGCTCTTATTTTCGATTGAATTCAGGTCAAGTGGTTGTCTGGGCCATTCCTAGCAGCTTTATTTTCTTTGTCTGAAACCAGCTAAGAGTTTCTTTGGCTGTGAGATTTCCGCTGCTGTCTGGCCTTTCCATGCCTTTCTACCCCATCCTTTCTTTGTGTGTTCAATACTTTTTTTCTGTGTCATTTAATTTGATTACACATCACTTAATTTCAAAAGCAAGTAGTTTTGTTGATTACTTTGGGTTGTTTACTGACATCTGGTGAAAATCCACAGCACATTATAAAAAGTGTTCTGAGAAAAAAAACAGTGACGCGTTTAGTACTTTTTTTATCCATTAGAGTGACTACTACATTTGGGTGTCTGACAATAAAATAGATTAAAACCGACTCTCTTCACCTCTTCTTATTAATAAAATTCACCATGTATGGTTTACTGCACTATAGTTGCAGGGTACTGCTGTTAACTACAGACATATAAGAAGTCAACAGCTATGCCAGTCACTGGTATATAAAGACATGCCTGTTAAGCACTGAGTTTTTTTCCCCGCACAAATACTTCTGGAAGGGGAATGGCTTCTTTGGGATGTGAATATTTGCCCACCCACCAAAAATGATCAACAAAGTAGCGACATTATAAAAGCAAAAGTTGTAAAAGCTCTTTTGTTGATTTGCATTTGTTAATGTATACGTCTATCGTAGCATAACTGAAACTTGTTAAAATATTCACAAGTGATTTATACTTGCTGAATTCAGTGCAAAAACAGATGTAAGGCATGACTCAAGAGATTCTAAATAATTGGCAGTATGTGCATGTTCATCGCATTGTTAACATTTCATTGTACATATACACTAAAATGTGCAACAGTATTCACAAAGTTAACAACACAGAGTGATATGTGAAGAATCAATCAAGACACCAGGATCGCAAGGAGCAAATGGTATGAAAGTCCTCAAAAAACATACTGGTTTAAACAGCACAATTTCTGATAACTACAAGAGTTGTTTAAATTAACATCATAATGGTTAAACATACCATAGATAACTGAATTATTTATTGTCCTCGGCCAAAAGAAAAAAAAACTAGCAAACAGCACATTTAATTCATAAAATGATGTAAAAAAAAGCCTAGTTAAGTGGATCGTGCGGATGTTTGACAAAATGCCAAATGCTCAGCTGACAAAACATATTTTTAAAATATTCGTTTGCAAGAACATAAACCTTGTGTAATGTGAATTGTAAAGTTGAGGAGTGATGTAGGATCTTTACATTGTGCAGTGAGTCTAGCCTAATTTACATCCGTGTACAATTCAATATGGCATCTATCATGACACCTATTGTTAAACTTGATCATCGTTTACTCACCCTTGAGTTATTTCAAACCGTTTTCTATGCTACACATAATTATTTGAATATTTTTATCCGGCTTTCAAACATTTGCCAACATGTGCACAAAATAGAAAAGCTTAAGTTTATGATGCCTTTATGTTGCGGTTTTAGCCTTTCTGATGCTAAGCTGCAATGAAATAAAGCAGCACAAGTTTTATGTGGCACTGCTTTTATGCTATCTCAATATAAAAGTCATTGTTTGGCACAACACAAGGGCAAGTAAATAATGACAATTTTTATTGTAGGGCAAACGTTGTTGAGGATTAGTATTTGCTTACTGAATTGAATCAAAGTGGGTAGAAAATATAGGCACTGGAGAATGAGCATTTTCCTAACTTTTTCTATGCAGACAAAACAAAAACAGACATGACCATACTGTTAACCACTTATACCCGCCTCAAATTTGATTTATGTTTTTTACATATTAGCAGACCATTAAATAAGGAATTTTTTCAATTTTACCATGTAAATGACAGCGTCAGATCTTGTCTTGTAGTTTAAAGATCGTTATAACAGGGTTTCCTTGTGATGTCGCATGATATGTTGGTTCTTTTCTGATGGCCGCCTGAAACCCTTCTTGCAGTAATCGCACCTGTGGGGATAGTCTTTAGTGTGGATTGATATGACATGCCTTTTGAAACCTGAAGCATCTGTAGTGTTGTACTCGCAATATTGGCATTGGTAAACCTTGCGGCCACTGTGTGTTTTCATGTGTTTTTTAAGTTCGTTCTGATGCCTAAAACCTCGCTTGCAGCGCTTGCATTTAAACGGCAAGTCCTTAGTATGAACAGAAAGAATATGGCGGCTTAGTGTGAAGGGGTCCAACGTCTTAAAATCACAGTGCCGGCACTGGTGTACTTTATTCCCCTTGTGGGTTTCCGAATGTTTTTTCAGTTCAGAGGGTCTGTGAAAGCCTTTTTCACACACGTCGCACTTGTGCGGAAAGTCTTTAGTGTGTACTGAGATTATGTGACGTTTCAAATCACTGGAATTGGTGCTTTTATGTTCACAATGGGGACACTGGTGAGTCTTATGACCCTGGAATATCTCAGCATGCCTTTGGAGCTCCTTGTCATCCGCAAACGCCTGTGGGCAATGGCCACACTTAAAGGGCAGGTCTGTCCCATGTTTGCTCTTTATATGAGTCTTTAAATTGGACTGGTCGGCACAAGAGAACTCGCAGTGCTGGCAATGGAAAGGTTTCTCTCCCGTGTGAGTCCGCATGTGCTTCTTAAGCTCAGAGGGGTGGCGGAAACCCTTAGCGCACTCTACGCAGACATGTGCAAAGTTTTTACTGTGCACGGCCAGAAGATGGCGGTTCAAAAGACCCTGCTCGGCAGTCTCATACTCGCAATACTTGCATTTGTGCAGCTTGGGCTCTTTGTCTCGCAGAATGAGCTTGTTGGAGCTGAGCGGGCTGGCCTCATGATATCGGCGAGTGTACTCCGTGTACTCAGGGATCTTTTCATTCTTGATGATGAGCTTGTGGCTTTCCAGATGGTTGTGGAAACTCACCTTCTTGTTGGTGGTGAATTCACAATCGGTGCACTGGTACTTCTTCTTGAACATGTGGTCCGGATGATTCTTCATGTGCCGTTTCAGGAAACCCCGTGATTTGAATTTCTTGCCACAGATGTGACAGGGGTATACAGTCAGTGGCTGCCCATCAGGACCAATGATTACAGCTAAAATAAAGAAAGACAATGTGCTGAAATTAATCAATTCCATATTATATTTTGAAATAAGACTATACCATCTATACTTAATCTCTTAAGATACATACAATCATGTATCCAGTGTTCTTTTAAAGGCTGTTACTTGTGTATTAATGCAATTTTTATTGAAACATTACTAGAACTTAATTACATTCGCCCATGTGTTGTCTTCTTTCAGACTAATGCAAAATTATAATTAAATATATGCATGTATATCCTCCTGGGGAAATGCCATCACACATGGAGAGTAACACTTTGGTAAACACTGAAATTCCATGTTGAACCACTCAAGTGAAATAGATCCTAGCCATTGGTTGATTCTACAAGAATTGTTCGAAGGTATGCATCTACAGTGTATGCAGACAGTGAATATCCGCTGTAAACTATCAAAACACATTTTCAAACATGTTCAAAATATCTTATTTAAATAGAAATAAAAATTCAAAAATAAATAAATGAAGACATTAAAATTTTTCAAGGATTTAAGATGCTTACTACCGTTAAATGCATCATTACCATCTTGTGAAAAAGGTCAACAGCTGTATTTGCCAAATTACAGTGAGCTTAGTGAGTCTTAAGCCATAACACTCACTGTGAAAGATACTATTTTTGCTAGACCATCAGTGGAGAAATCAGGAAACAGTGAAAGCACGTTCAGACTAGATCTGCGCGGGACATATTTTTCTGCAATACTGAAGTTTTTGTCCCACTACTTCTGACAGATTTGAGGAAATGCAAATGTGACCTTGTTGTTCATAACATTAGAGATGTCTGAAACTGCGATACACACCCAACTCTCAACCAGACAAAATGCTTCCACTATGGAAGAAGCAGGAAAAGTTGTTGTGCAATTTATCACTTGCTGATAAGTGAGCAGGTCTTAATGTGTCCTTTTTACTTTTAAGTTACATTAAGATACATTTATTTGCCTTTTTCAATTTATGTTTAAACATTTTGCAGGAATCCCATGGATAATATTAGAATGAACCATGTTAATCCATGATGGGACAGAATGGATTGTGGAGGCCTTAACCATAGATACACAAATAGGGAGTGATGTGTACGCACCATCGAACAGCTGTAATGTGTTTAAGAGAGAGAGCACACTGCAGCCATCAGGTATTCATGTGATATACATAAACTGCAGTCAGATACGTATACTCCAAAACTCGCTTCCCTGTTATATAAATGAAAAAATAAATATACAAACTTGAACTGCAATCTACATGCATACCCTGATAGGTATTGAGCATTATTTTTTATATGTGAGGAAAAAACAAAAGCACTACTGGTTTGGTTGCTGCTTCCCTCCGTCCCTTTATTTTATGATCGCTAGACTAAACTAAAAGATCATTAGGGCTTTAATTTCAAGAAGAATGAACATTTGTATAATTTGTCCATCTCACTATTATCATGTACCATTATACTACTGTTATCCAATCAATCAAAGCAACAGATGGAGCTCACATGAGGAAAACGGACACATTGAAGTTTAGCTTGAACAATGGCACAGCGAAGATACAAATGAAATATGAAACAAACAAATAGACAATTTCAATAATAATTTAGTCTCTTGTATAAACATATTGTATATTTATTATGGCAAGCATTAGTATAAATATCCTTTAGCATTGCAAATCATTGTGTGTTATATGTTCATGACTATTATCAAGCTACAGCTTAGCTGCTTTGGCTCACAGTATTTGGTAGACCCAAAACCCTTGGCTATTTCCCCTGAGGAAGCCTCGAGAAGGCCTGATAAAACCCCATTAGTGATTGTGGAAATGAGACTGGACCTGACATGTACTGGCTGACTCACTCATGCTCTGAGGGTTTTAATGAATATTAATGTAAATACAAACCCTTAAAATAAGTGATGAGGGTGTCTGGATGAACCATATTCCAGATCTGATTTGATCACTGACACTAAACACCAGTATTATGGCTTGTTTCCACTAAGTGGTAAGGCATGGTTTGGTACAGTATAAAATGTTTTATTATGTATGTTTCCACTGTCAGTTGTGAATGGTACAAAAATAGCAAACCGTACCACTTTTTAAATAAATAGAGCTAGACTTAAAGTAAAACACAGATTCATTATTAAATTCATAGCCAAAGTACAATTACAATTATGTAATACAAAATAATACACACAGCAATGAATCATGGCCAACCCAAGCTCAAACAAACCTTGTTGTCTTCTTTGATCAAAATTGTGCCAATCTGGTGACTGAGATTGCTCTTATCAAAAAAAAAAATTCTATTTCTATAAGATGTTATACAAAATTATATTTATGCATATACATTCAATTAGCCAGTACTGAAGCCAAATCTGATTTATGATAACAGTCAAAAATGTATACACCCAAATGTATATGTTAGTGAAAAATATTAAATAAAAAATGTAAAAAAAATATATATATATTTTAGATGCGACTTTCTATTGTCATAGACAGAGGAGTTCAAAAACATCCTGGATCAAACTGCACTTACAGAAGCTCATACCTGTCTGACACTGGCGTGTCTCTCCTCGCCTTCTCTTCTTAATCTTTTGCTTAAGTGCTCGGCTTGTGCTGATGCTGTCAGTGATCTGCAGGTAGGGAGTGGCAGCACCATTCTTACTTTCTAGACTGCTTCCTGTAGAAAAGCCATGACAGGTAAGGAAATTTGATTGAACATTTACAAGATATAAATGCACGAAAAATAAATAATATTGTTTCTTTATAGAAATTTTAAAGCTACATTTCATTGAAATGTACAGTTTACCCATCTTGAAAATTCTGTCTCTTGCAGCATAACAATTTTGTCAAAAGTATTAAGCCGACAATAAATCAGAATTTATAAATCATAATAATTAGAAATTCAGAAACTCAAATGTGCTCACATCTAGCACCTGCAAACTTCAACTTAAAAAACCATGTACTCTGTACAACATCTCTGATGCTCCATTACTACATTAAGCTGGTAGTAGGCAATTACAATTTCAGCCAGAACTTTCATTTTTGGTGAACTATGCATTCAAAGCAATTCTCATCTCCCGCTACAACAAAGTGAAATAAATGACCATAAGCAGTTGCCCAGGCTGCAGGAACAATGGTCTTGTTAACTGGTGAGTCCTCCATCTGAGCTTCTGTGATAGCAGGAGCCTCTTCTTCCCCAACAATGACCTCCATATACACCTGGTCAGTCATCTCCGAACAGTCTACATTAAGGACAGGTGACAAAAAAATAACACACTTTTCAATGGCTATAAGCATTGGTACTTGTTCTTAAATGGAGAGGGTTTTTTTCCACTGTGCTTAACCCTGGGTTAATCGCCATTCTAAATACTATTTTAACCCTGTATAAAGACATATTTAATGAACCTTTGTTTACTGTTAAATCAACAATAAAAAATAAATAAAAATGTTAAATAAAATAATAATGAAGAAAATTCATTTTCAAAAGCAGAATAACACATTTTTAACAATTTGAAGTGTAAAAGTCCTACAGAACGCACTTAAATCATCTTCTTGGTTGGCATCCTTTACAGCCATGTAGACCATCTTCTCTCTGGGCAGCCTTCCTGAACCCACTGACTCCATCACAGTGTGCCTACCAGGAAAATCACTCTCTTCTACCACCTCCGTGCTGCCTACAACACAACAGAACACAACACAAACACATTTATGTTAAAGGGATCATGATAACACATTTCTAAAAATAATAGTTTCATTAACTAATTTCTAGTAACTGATTTATTTTATCTTTGAAAAGATGACAGTACATAATATTTACCTAGATATTTTTCAAGACACTGCTAGTCAGCTTAAAAGGCAATTTAAAGGCTTAACTAGGTTAATTAGACAAGTTGGGGTAAATAGGCAAGTTGTTGTATAATGATGGTTCTGTAGACAATCGAAAAAATATAGCTTAAGGAGGCTAATAATTTTGACCCTAAAACGTGAAAAAAAATGTGTTTATTCTAGCTGAAATAAAACAAATAAACCTTTCTCTGGAAGAAAAAATATTTTCGGAAATACTGTGAAAATTCCCTTGCTCTGTTAAATGAAGTTTCACAAACTAATTTCGAGAGGAGCACGTGATATGATTGACTGCAGCTGGCCACTCATCTACACTCATTAGCTAGCCAATCAGATCGATCCAAACTCACTATAAATAACCTAGCTAAGATCTACACCCCTATCTTCGTTTTCCGAAGAAGCTGACGACAGGTCCTCTCTTGCTCCTCCGAAAGCTACTCACGGACAAACTGACCTCCTACTATTTTCAACTACAATACCACACCACCATTTCCATCATCGTCAGCATCTACAAAAACGACAACAACAGTGGACGTCTGAGATCTCAAGAGCAACAGCGCAGCTACAGACAAGAAGGAAAGCTCCGCGCTCTCCGAAACACCAGCCCCGCCTCAACAACACCCAGCTCAGCCGCGAAGTCGGCTCGAGACCGAGGCTCCAACAAGAGGTCGAAGGCCTATCCACTCCAGCCGGAACACAACACAATCCCAATCTCCGCCACGTACCTTCTCCAGCATCATCATGCGTCTCTCACATCCAACAAACGACCGTCATTGAACTCTTCGAATCTCCTAGACGCCGCAACCATGATTACAAGCCGCTGCATTAAACCCAGAAAGACCTTACGAATCCACGTCTAAACCGACTCCGCCCCCCTATGACATAACAACTACGCGCACCTGCTACACCTCTATCCCAAACAGACAATATCCCTGCAAAATCTTCCGGGGCAGTAAGGAAAGCATTAAAGCAATCTCGGAATCGGACATCCTGCAGTCTTCATTAATTAAATTAACATGAATAAGACTATATCCGGACATCAACGCAACTCCTGGATTTCCACCTCACCCTTCCAGATTGCAGCTCACCAATCCAGTACAACTCCAGCCCGCCTCTTCCAGCGATCCTGACCTCTTATCTATTCTTCCAAATCTCCTACATTAACCCAGCACTAAGAATTATCCATCCTACCTCGCTATATCCCCGCCTTCCCTCCTTTCACTTCTACACACTTGCAACTACGGCGGCGACAGTCTCATGGAAACTGAAATTACTTGTCGAGTTCTGCCTATATGTTTAATCTTTTATTGATTTATGTTTGCACCCTGATCTAATTTTTCTGTATTTCTCATTTCAGGTCTGTTTAACGGATCCCAGCCCGGTATCTCGGCGCTCCCTTCCCATATAACCTCACTAGCTCTCCACCAACGCTGAACCAGAAATCAAAGACCTTTTATCCGAGAAAGATAAATGAAAGACTCTATCCCAGTTTAGCACATTCATCAACCCTACTGGAAAGAGCATTAGAACGTTTCTAAAAACGTCTAATAACGGCTCTTTAATCACCTCATATATTCCACCCTTTTTCAGCTTTAATAGCATCATTCCGCATAAACATGACGCTTTAAATTATCACAGCATTAAACAAGCAATCTCTGATGAATCTAGACGGCGGAAAATTGGCTTGCAAGTCAACATTTCCTTGTCTTAAATTAAAACCTGATTCGGGCATCTCCTCCGAATTTCGGCATTAATCTGAGATTTTAATTCTATTAAGAAGTCCGTTTAATATGCGGACGCAGAAGTAGCCCATACAGGCCTGGCGCCAGGATATATCCTTTCATTAAGGCCTTATTCACATTTATTATTACTTTGCATTACTGCCTGAGTTACCGACCTAAAGCAATTAAATATTAATATAGCCTACTTTAGTATTAATATTTTGCAGTTTGGCTAATTCTTATTTGGTTATCGAAGGTTATGCAATACCTTTTATTAACGCAGATTATAGCTTCAGCGTCAACAGTGATTTTAATCATATTTTATTCACCTTATTTTCTTCCTTTTTATTTCAATAATAGGCCATAAACGTTTAAGTTTTAGGTAGATGCCCATGCAAGCTAATCCACGGTCAGATTCGTATAACCGGCAATAACCAATTGTGAAATCCGCATAACCGAGTTATCACGCCTCAAATACAAGCCTACAATGTTTTCTGGGGTTTAATTTTGCATGAGCAAATAGCAGTATAGCCTTACATATTTTTATAAATTATCATTTAGCCTACTCGCAGTACAAGTGAGAGGATGATCCGCAATCCACTTACGCACTTATTAAATTTATAACACAGTAACTCGACTTGCAGACCGATCACTTAAACGTAAAGGCATTTTATTGTGTCTTAACTGCTGCTAAATAATGGGATGTTTCCTTACACAACTGTAAAAGTGCGCTTCAGCATGTCAAAATGCGTTTCGTCAATTTTATTAATATTGATAATAATGAAAATAATACATTTAAATAATAATTAAGCCTATAGTGTAGACTACTATGGGATTGGGCAGTGAACTAAACATTTTAATAAGCTACATAACTAAAAACAAATGTACAGAGCGGACAGTCGCGTTTTTGCTCAAATTAATTTAACGGCAATATTATTTTGCATTTCTCTTTAGATCTTCAGAGAATTGTTTAAAGAATTAGTTAACCAAAACATGTAATTACTTAGGCTGCCATAGCCTCATGTCATTCACTAGTCCAGTTTTTCCTGCATGAGTTGAGTGCGCCTCCATCGCCGTGTGCACGTTTATAAGGACGCACCTGACCTGATGCGGGGACCACATATCTGGAATAGGAGCTTTAATCTCACAATTTCACAATTTAATTGCCATTTCATATTATACAATATTTAAACGTGTCTGAGGTCGGGATGACGGGAGTGTTAATTAACTACTGAAATAATTTTTAGAGTTAATAATCCTTTATGAAAACTGAGGGGCTCAAATTCTTCTGAGGGGGCGATGCCTCCCTTCGCCCCCCGTAGCGCCGGGCCTGAGCCCATTCATCCACACTTTTAAGCATTTGCTGGATTCTCGCCAATAACCACGGCGTTTGCACGTAGTTCATCTATTAGATAATTTCCTTATATCTCCCCCATAATATCTTCGAGCCAAAACCTAGTGACAGGTCTCTAATATTGGCATCCCCATCGCGGATGAACGTCCGGCCAAGCCCGTCTAGAATTCTTAAGCATCAATTGAAATAAAATAATAATTTACAAGCTTCTTAATCTAATTTAATCGACTTAAATTAGCTCTCTTTTTATCCTTGAAGACCAAGTTCATGATAAGCTCACACTGCTGTCCAACCTAGGACACTAAAAACTCACGCGCAGTATTCCGCAGGGATGGCTTTCTGTCACTCGCCTCCTTCAACTCGCAGCACCAGTCCCTGTAGTAGATGAAGTATCTATCCATTCTCGGCCGTAACAATCCCGGCCTGAAAGGAGTCGCGCACCGGAGGCGCCGCATAGCGCTGTGACGCGCGCGCTCATGACAAGGGCTGGTAGGCCAATACAAACCAGACACACATAATTAATATTTATTTTATGAAACTATTTAAATGTACAATAGCGCTCCGCGGCGCCGTAGAATACAATTGTTCTAAAGTGAGGCTGGGCACTGCGGACAACAGCTGGACATCAATGGCTGACGGCGGCGCCGGAGCACGCACCCCGACTGAACATGTCAAGAATTCCAAACGCACGGCGAGACGCAGCGCGTCTCCGAACGGCGCTAAAAGTGCGGGGTCCGCTTCATGTTTTACTTCCTTAGCGCTGGAATAGCTGCCCATTCATTTATAAGCGATCCAATTCATCCCCAGTATATCCTCTTACACAGCACCGTTACAACGAAGCCGCTGGTCACTGCCCTAATAAAGGGCGTTATCATTATGCTTAAAGCGGCTTCTCCATCGCTACATTTGGACTTTAGCCAAAAACGATTTATTATAACGGCTGTATCATGTTCCTAGTTGCATAAGAATTGCTGACTCTCTTTCTTGCTTATTTCCAGTAACTGGTACCGGAAGCAGAGCCATCCCTCCTTTTGAGATGATATCCCATAACCACTGCATACAATTTGCATCAAGAGCCATATGTAACCCCAGAACATTTCAATAGTTCCTCACTGCTCAGCTCATCCAATATCCCATTCCCCACTCAACAATTCTATTCCTGATTCCCCGCTTGCATTCAGACTATACGTTACACCTCATACCTACAATTCACACAAACACATCCAAGACAACTCTATCAAGAGTTATTAAGGGGAATTTAAAAAATTGCACAAACTCGCATACGGCTCCTTTTCAGATCCTATTGCTAATTCCCAATGCCACCACAGCTGCACACAAGGGCTATCTCAACAACACATACAAACACTTGGAAGGTGGTCTTCCGACGCCTTTAATTCTTACATTTAAGCTGAGCCACAGCCATCTCAAGGAAGCTCTGAAGACCCCTACCAGCAGACACGCTAATTCCAGCGGCCAAGGGCACAGGCATAATCCAGGGATATGACAAGACCCAGCTATGCCAGCTCCCCAGGAGCGGAAGAGCTACCCAACCACGCAAGGGCGCGGGCATGACCCAGCCTCCTAACTGCCTTTCCTTCTTATAGCTTGAGTTGCACTCAGCTTTCTCTCCCTAGTCACTCCCCTAACTACAAGTTGAAGTTCCTCCTGCCCAAGATCCCCCCCCTGTCACCCCGCCCCCCCAGGCCGCTGCCACAGAAGTCTCCACTGCCCCCACCCCATTTTTTAGGACTTCTGT